CTTGGTTCACTTTCCTTCTGACCCACTCAATTCATTTTCATTAATGTTTCTCTTAAATCATCCCAAAACATTTTGAATAAATAAATTAAAATCTAAGATAAAAAATATATACAAGAGAATACCGTTTTATTTTGATGTAATATTATAAACAAAAATTATGTTGTTTTTAGAAAATAAATCAATTATTCTAAAAAATGAACAACATTTCATTTAATCATTATGTTTATCTAAACATATAGCATTAAGTGTAATATTTACAATGTTGAAAGAAGCCTTCAGTGCCTAATCCTAATATCACCGTTTATGTTTATTTCTTTTTCCAATTGGCGATTATAAATCGCTTATAAAAATGTTTTAAACAAAGAAATCAATCTTGGTTTTCATTTCAGCATTTTTCACGCTGAAACTTGGTACAGTTCAGGTATTCTTAAACTCTGCAATACAAATAAATAAAGAAAATATGTTTATTATATTTATAACTTTGCCTACCTTATATGAATTGTATGAAAGTCGAAGAAAAAGAAGTATGGTTTTGAACTTAACATTACAAACAAAATTATAGCTGCTAAAAAAGAATTTTTTTAAAGTAAAAAAAATATATAACAAATTTAAAATATTTACAGTGACCACTTTAGATGAATTTGATGTTTTATTTTGTACAGATGTTTTAGGATTTGAATAAACTTTCGGTTTATTGGCACTGGTAAAATTGCTCTATAACATAAAAAAAGATATAAATCATAATTTTCAAACTAATTAAAAATTTACCTCTGTTGAAACTGTAAGTTTACTCAACCCACCGCTTTTCTTACCAGCAACGCTTTGTTTTCCATTTCCGGTCGTCGCAGCATCGGTTTTAACACAACTTTGCGTACACCTATCAATATGTGTGGGCCAATGTTTTATTTGACAGGGATAATCGCAATAACTCGTATTCCAGCAGCAATAAAATTGAGCTTCTTTCCCACAAACGGAACACCACTGTTTCGATTTGGCGTCCTCGATCCGTTTTTGAGCGTCCAATTCACACTCTCTCCGTGTTTCATCAACAGCCCTTTGTCGTTCCTCCGTGAAATTTCGATGAACCTCTTTTAAAATCGTTTGAAGATTTTGTTTCATCTCTAATATTTCCATACTATGTTGTTGTTTTAAATTCTCCAATTCGAGTTTTAGGAGAGCTATTTCAGCTTCTACAGTTGAAGAGGAATCAGATGTTGTTGAGAATTCGGATAAGAATTTTATCATAGTTTCACGAAAATAATCTGTTAACTATAGAGTAAGGTTTATATAATGATACATTATTAAAATATATAATTTACCTTATGAGTTGCAGAATTTATTTTCATAGCAATTGGTCCAGTTGAATTTGTAATCCGTTCACAAATCGAAGTATTATTAGTTGTTGGTTTTGCTGTTAACAACGGCGGCGGAGGTCGACTCGTCGTTTCCGTTAGCGCTTTCATCAACTTTTCCGGAATATAACCACTCAAATAATTAAAATCATCAACACCATCATCTTTTTGTGAAACAGCACCGTTATTTGTAGTATTTATCAAAGAGGAATTTGTTGCAGCACTCGAAATAACTTGGGTCGACATATTCGAAGCTGTTGTTGTTGTTAAACTACATAAAGGTGGTGGAATTGAACCAGAAACTGGATTACTATTATTATTATTGATATTACTTGTAGTAGTTGGATTTGAAATCGCTGTTAAAGTTATTTGAGAAGATAACGAAACTTGAGGTCTACATAAAGGTGGTAAAGGTTTCGTTGAAATTGTAACAGGCGAAGATTTATTATTTACATTACTTTTTGAAGGATTTAAAGACGATATCGGTTTTGAAATGATAAAAGTCGGGGTTGTTGATGCTATTAATGATGTTGATGTTGAAGTCGTAGGAATGGTTGTTCTAGCCACTTTCTCTATATGCAAATGCAGAGGAGATAGGCCAAGCAGAACCTCCATTGCTAGAGTTGGCGTTGTGCCTATCGCACTGCATTAACTATAAGAAAACATCGAAATCGCCTTAATAATAAATCTGCACGATGTTTGTTATGTCCCTGAATGCGATGAAAAGTACTCTTTTGCTTTCAATTCTCTTTTTTATTATATTTTGTTAGTCAATTTAATTACTTAGGATTAATTATAAAATTATTTTGAAAATCATTTAATTATAAATGATTATTATTATTATTTTGACACACACCAATAAGCTTTTTCTACTTTTTAGTATCTTTGAAATTCTTTCAATTCGCAACCAAATCATTTTTTTACATGTTTAAGTATCCTAGGGATGCTTGTAACCCTGTCATAAAACTATTTTTTGGTTAATATTATCATTTTCTTTTAAATTATTTTTATTTGTAGTTCCAACTTGGGCCACAGGACCAAAAGGCTGTCTCTTAACCGAGTTACCATCTTTAACGGTTCTTTACAACCCAGAACAATCAGCTCTTGAATTGACTTCCGATTGTGGGTTAGATGGAACGAAAAGAATTGCGTGTAAAGGAAATGCTGTAAGTTGATTAATTTTAATATTAGAAAGAAGTGGGTTTTTAATTTGTTTTTTTTTTAGAACCGGGATCAAATGATAAAGCAATTAGCTTGCACTATAACCGATGATTTTGATGATAAATCAACTAAATTACCTGCAACAACTCAACATTCTCCGATTACCGAAAACGATGAATTTACCAATACTGTTTATGAGTATTCTTCATCAACGAGGCATAGAAGAGATACGGAGGCGACCCAAAAACCCACAGAAAGTGGAGTTTTTGAAATAAGTACAAGTTTTTATCAACCAACTTCTTTGACTGTGGGGGTTTCAACTAATTTCTCTCCGAAAACGTCCAATTCAGAAACACCGTCAAGGGAAATAATGGAGGAGTCAACCACGTTTAAACCGGAAGATACTTCATCAATTGAAAATTTTGAAAGTAGCAGTGTTGATTTTGAAACGAGCGATTTTCCAAGTGTAATAAATCAAGGGCAACTCTTTGGGATTATAGAAAATGGAACTAATTATGATATAATCGAGCTAAACGAAACTGGTACCGAAGAAAGTGTCAAAAAAGAGGGTGTAATAAATCAAGAAATGATTAAAGAAACATTTAAAAAAGTTTCAAAAGAATTTTCAGAAACTCCAATTGAAGTTGTATCAACTTCACAATCGATTCAAAAAGAATCGCAATCATCAAAACTCTTAAAGAAATTGTACGGAAAAAATTTAAACGATCTTCAACAAAGTGATGATAAAACGCTTAATAAAGAAGTGGAAATGATTCCTCCACTTCCCGGGAGTCCGATGATGAAATTAAATAGAACCCATCGAAAACAATTACCGATTATAGAAGATTTCGATGATAACGACGAGATTGATCTTGATATTGATAATAAATTGATCGAAAAAGAAACCGAAGAAGTCCAACATAAAACGGTCGAAGTAAAACTACATAAAAACGGCGAAAAAAATGAAAGTAATCCGATTATTTATGTAACTACAAAAACTGGGGCGAAAAAATTTAAAAAAAGTATGGATGTAAAAAAAGAATTAATTAAAAAGGAGATTACATCAACACCTCAAGGTGATTCAGAAGATTTTAAGGAAGAAATGAAAGGAGAAAACCCGATTAAAGAAATTTCAACGATTAAACCACAAATAATTAACGAAAATAATAAAAAAGATAATAAGGGAAATGAAGAAAATAAAGATGAAATTAATGATGATGATGATGAAGATCGTTCAAAATATACAGTTAGTATTGATGATATGATCTCAACAACTCAACCCCCATTAATTTCAAGCACAATAATTTCGAAAGATTTAGAATTAATTATAGATGAACTCAACAAAACCAACAATAATAATGGCTCATTTAAAATTTCTCCTAAACAATTCGATGAAACATCCTCAGATAAACCAGATGTTGATTTTCAAGATGATATCGCAAATTTTGAGGGTACTGGTGAACCGAAAGATACACCGGAAGTTCAACCAAGACCAAATCGACAACGGCAATTGACGAGAAATCAACGGAAAACTTTTTATCCCTATTTTTTCAGTAGAATGCTCGGTTGAAATGCGGATTAAATTAAAAAAAAAATGTTTCGAAACAAAATAATACCACAAAACAAAAAAAAATAGTAACAAAAAAAATAAATAATCATTTTTACTGTTTATGTGAGTTTTTTACTAAATAAAACATGATTAAAAAAATACAGGTGCCAAAAATTGAAATATGAGATGAAAATGATTGAAAAACAAAAAAAAATTGCAACGAAATTTTTTGATTTAAAAGAAAAATGAGATTTTTGAAAAAGATTTTTCGTCAATTACAATGAAACTGGATTTAAAGAGGGGTCACACGCGAGTACCAAACATAAAGTACCAACATTTAGGTAACAGTTAAAGAAAAAGGAACCGAAAATGGTATTGTTAGTTATTGTAGTTGTAGTTTCAACATTGATTTTATACCTATATAGAATATTCTAGATCAGCTAGATTAATGAATAATGAGTAAAATAAAAATCATTAGGATAACATAATGTTAAATAGAGAATGTTTCGTTTATTTCAGTGTTTTCTAATAACAATAAAGAGATTTAATTATCTTGATTAACCGCACAAGTTTATTTTATAGAATCTGCAATTATTTAATGAGTATTTAAGATAAAATTGTATTTCTCCAAATTTTATATTTTATATTTAAAATATATATCCAGAAGCACTCCAAGCCTCAAAAATGGGTGTAGAGTTGGAAGATCAAAACCTGACATCCCTTTACTTTGTTAATAACCAAGTTGTTGTAGCACTTAGTGGAAACTCATAGAATATCGGAAGTGGGGACTGAATATCAATATAGATATGACAGAATATATATGGTAATACCAATGACGCGACAGATCTTGAACTAAAAATAAACAACAAAATAGGAACTTGGGTTCAAGGGATTAGACAGATTATGACTGTAATGCAAACAATAATACAAAATATGAGATAACAGGAGATTTTAGGCTTTAACATAAGTTTGGGCATAATTGGAGACATTTTGTACGTATGATGAAGATCAGACGTGTATTAAATTCGATTTTATTTGTGAAATAATTGCAAAGATAAGACACCATATTAATATTAATAAAACTTGTGGGATTATTCTTTATTGTTAACAGAAAAACGCTCCTTTTATTTTAATATTTATTATTAGTGTTGATAATAAAAGGCGTTAGAACCATCATATTTATTAATAGATGGGTAGTTTTAGTTTGAAAAGAATTTTTGAAAGGAAAGTTTTTTTTAACACTGACATTTCATCATTACAGATTTATAATGAATTTTTTAGATTACGTTTCAAGGTTCCCTTCACAAAAATTTAGTCATATTTCTTATTTTCTAATTAAGATTTGAAATATTTTATGAATCAAAACTTTCCTTAAAAGAAATCTTAAAAAAATATTACTAGATGTAATAACCTAATTACGTTAGATACAAAAATAGACTTTTTGAGCTACTGTTAGTGGTAAATGTTGATTCTTAAGCGGCACACGTGGCAAAAACACTTTAAGAGCTATGCACCGTCCTGCTTCCCGTCCTCCTAAAGACTTTAAATAATTTAATGATGTTTATTTTTAACATTAAAAGACTTTTTTGATTTTATTAAATAAAAAATTACAACATATTTGTTGATTTTTGAATTAATTATGCGATGGAACGCACAAATTGCTCAATTTTTTCTCTACAATTTCCATTTTCAATTTCTTTGTATGAAATAAATAAATTAACGATTTTATTAGGTACTTAAAGTTTACTTTTAATTATTATTACATATATTGTGTAAATATTAACCAATGATTGTGCTAATATTATGTAATTAATAAATAAATATTAAAGAAAATATTTTTTTTCGTTAATCTCATTTTCAACAAACGTCAAATTAAATAGGCGATTTTTAAAAATATATATAAAATGAGTTGTTGAACCCAGAAACTTTAAAGTTGGTATAATTAATCCTAAAACGTTTCTTTATAACCTCACAAAGTTTTATTTCTTGAATCCTATTCGTTTTGGAGAAAATAATTTTTTTCGTTAATCTCATTTCTAACAAACGTCAAATTAAATAGGCGATTTTTAAAAATATATATAAAATGAGTTGTTGAACCCAGAAACTTTAAAGTTGGTATAATTAATCCTAAAACGTTCCTTTATAACCTCACAAAGTTTTATTTCTTGAATCCTATTCGTTTTGGAGAAAATAATTTTTTTCGTTAATCTCATTTCTAACAAACGTCAAATTAAATAGGCGATTTTTAAAAATATATATAAAATGAGTTGTTGAACCCAGAAACTTTAAAGTTGGTATAATTAATCCTAAAACGTTCCTTTATAACCTCACAAAGTTTTATTTCTTGAATCCTATTCGTTTTGGAGAAAATAATTTTTTTCGTTAATCTCATTTCTAACAAACGTCAAATTAAATAGGCGATTTTTAAAAATATATATAAAATGAGTTGTTGAACCCAGAAACTTTAAAGTTGGTATAATTAATCCTAAAACGTTCCTTTATAACCTCACAAAGTTTTATTTCTTGAATCCTATTCGTTTTGGAGAAAATAATTTTTTTCGTTAATCTCATTTCTAACAAACGTCAAATTAAATAGGCGATTTTTAAAAATATATATAAAATGAGTTGTTGAACCCAGAAACTTTAAAGTTGGTATAATTAATCCTAAAACGTTCCTTTATAACCTCACAAAGTTTTATTTCTTGAATCCTATTCGTTTTGGAGAAAATAATTTTTTTCGTTAATCTCATTTCTAACAAACGTCAAATTAAATAGGCGATTTTTAAAAATATATATAAAATGAGTTGTTGAACCCAGAAACTTTAAAGTTGGTATAATTAATCCTAAAACGTTCCTTTATAACCTCACAAAGTTTTATTTCTTGAATCCTATTCGATTAGGAGAAAATATTTTTTTTTGTTAATCTCATTTCCAACAAACGTCAAATTAAATCGGCGATTTTTAAAAATATATATAACATGATTTGTTGAACCCAGAAACTTTAAAGTTGGTATAATGAACCCTAAAACGTTCCTTTATAATCTCACAAAGTTTTATTTCTTGAATCCTATTCGTTTTGGAGAAAATAATTTTTTTCGTTAATCTCATTTCTAACAAACGTCAAATTAAATAGGCGATTTTTAAAAATATATATAAAATGAGTTGTTGAACCCAGAAACTTTAAAGTTGGTATAATTAATCCTAAAACGTTCCTTTATAACCTCACAAAGTTTTATTTCTTGAATCCTATTTGTTATGGAGAAAATAATTTTTTTCGTTAATCTCATTTCTAACAAACGTCAAATTAAATAGGCGATTTTTATAAATATATATATAAAATGAGTTGTTGAACCCAGAAACTTTAAAGTTGGTATAATTAATCCCAAAACGTTCCTTTATAACCTCACAAAGTTTTATTTCTTGAATCCTATTCGTTTAGGAGAAAATAATTTTTTTTATTAATCTTGTTTCCAACAAACGTCAAATTAAAACGGCGATTTTTAAAAATATATATAAAATGAGTTGTTGAACCCAGAAACTTTAAAGTTGGTATAATTAACCCTAAAACGTTCCTTTATAACCTCACAAAGCTTTATTTCTTGAATCCTATTCGTTTAGGAGAAAATAATTTTTTTCGTTAATCTCATTTCCAACAAACATCAAATTAAATAGGCGATTTTTAAAAATATATATAAAATAAGTTGTTCAACCCAGAAACTTTAAAGTTGGTATAATTAATCCTAAAACGTTCCTTTATAACCTCAAAAAGAATCCTTTTCATTTTGGCGATTTTTAAAAATAAATAAATTAAATTAAAATAATTTTTTTTCTTGAATTTAAGTTTATTAATACTTTAAAAATTCATAGTTTGATAAATAAAAATTAAAAATTTTATGAATCCATACAAAAAAAGTATTTTAGTCACCACGTCTAAAAAGTATAATCTAAAAAAAAAAGTTAAACAATTACAGGAAGTGGAAACCCATAAACATTTTAACTTACGCTTTAAATTGAAACTTATAATATCCCATATTACTCAAATCTTCTTTAACACAAAATTTTCGAACCCCAAAGAACGTGTTATACATATATTTTTTAACATCAACATCAATATCCGTGTAAAACACCTTTTTATCAGCCTCGCTTAATTGATTAACCATCTCTAAAGCTTTTCCATTAGAGAATTTCCACTTTTTTATTGTGAAATATTGAAGGAGATTTGAAGCTGTATAAATCCTATTTTGTATCATCACCAAACTAAAAAGAAATAAATATAAAAAAAAAATAGAATTAAATAAATTAATACTTACAATGGTTTTTGCATAAACAATATTAAAAGAAAATCAACGATATATGCCGGAATGAATTGGAACAATAACATATAAATTTGATTTAAATAATAATTTTTTGTTGGTTGTCCAGCGGGATACCAAAGCATTTTTTTAAAAGGATATTCGCTCACTAAATTACGGTAATAATCAAAAACTTCACCCCAAGTAACTTGATATCGATCACCTTGGGTTACGTTATAAACTGGGGTTTTTGTGAATCTATAAAATAAAAAGAATTAATTAAAAGGAATTAAGATTGATATAAAAAATAATTACGGATAAGTTGCTCTCCTATACCCGCTTATAATCAACCCATTTATTGCTATATCAACAGGAATAATTTGGGGTGACATATCCGGATCTAAAAGAGTCGTTCGTAAGACGCCTTTTCCAGCAGCTACCATGAGGCCAATTGGACCATAAAAGCTGTCAACCCAACCTGGGGCTGGTTCGAAAACGGAAGGAAGCACGATGGATGGTCGAGTTATTACAATTGGTAGTTTATTTCCCATATCATCGGCTATCATTTCGGCAAGGCGTTTTGTGAAAGTGTAAGTGTTTGGATGTGGATGAATTAAACTAAATAAAAAGAAAATATGTGGTTTTAATTTAATCCTATTTATTAAAAATCAACTGCAAGCTGATTTAACAAATTAAAAGCAAATCAAACAAATAAATAGCAAAAAGCTTTTTGAAACTTCCTGAGGTTGTAAAAGAATACTTGAGGTTAAGTTATACCAAATTTTAAGTTTCCAGGTTGAACGGTTCTTTTTATAAAAATTTATATCAATTACCAACCTAAATTTGACGTTTTTTGAAGATGAAGTAAAGAAAATTTTTTTCTCCAATACGTTTTAGAATTGAGGCATGAAACTTCCTGAGGTTGTAAAAGAATACTTGAGGTTAAGTTATACCAAATTTTAAGTTTCCAGGTTGAAAGGTTCTTTTTATAAAAATTTATATAAATTGCTAATCTAAATTTAAGGTTTTTTGAAGATGAAGTAAAAAAAATGTTTTTCTCCAATACGTTTTAGAATTGAGGCATGAAACTTCCTGAGGTTGTAAAAGAATACTTGAGGTTAAGTTATACCAAATTTTAAGTTTCCGGATTGAACGGTTCTTTTTATAAAAATTTATATAAATTGTCAATCTAAATTTGACGGTTTTTAAAGATGAAGTAAAGAAAATTTTTTTCTCCAATACGTTTTAGAATTGAGACATGAAACTTCCTGAGGTTGCAGAAGAACATTTCAGGATAGGTTGTACCAAATTTTAAGTTTCCAGGTTGAACGGTTCTTTATATAAAAATTTATATAAACTACAAACCTAAATTTGACGTTTTTTGAAGATGAAGTAAAAAAATTTTTTTTCTCCAATACGTTTTAGAATTGAGGCATGAAACTTCCTGAGGTTGCAGAAGAACATTTCAGGATAGGTTGTACCAAATTTTAAGTTTCCAGGTTAAACGGTTCTTTATATAAAAATTTATATAAAATACCAACCTAAATTTGACGTTTTTTGAAGATGAAGTAAAGAAAATTTTTTTCTCCAATACGTTTTAGAATTGAGGCATAAAACTTCCTGAGGTTGTAAAAGAATACTTGAGGTTAAGTTATGCCAAATTTTAAGTTTCCAGGTTGAACGGTTCTTTTTATAAAAATTTATATAAATTGCTAATCTAAATTTAAGGTTTTTTGAAGATGAAGTAAAGAAAAATTTTTTTCTCCAATACGTTTTAGAATTGAGACATGAAACTTCCTGAGGTTGCAGAAAAACATTTCAGGTTAGGTTGTACCAAATTTTAAGTTTCCAGGTTGAACGGTTCTTTTTATAAAAATTTATATAAATTACCAACCTAAATTTGACGTTTTTTGAAGATGAAGTAAAGAAAATTTTTTTCTCCAATACGTTTTAGAATTGAGGCATAAAACTTCCTGAGGTTGTAAAAGAATACTTGAGGTTAAGTTATGCCAAATTTTAAGTTTCCAGGTTGAACGGTTCTTTTTATAAAAATTTATATAAATTGCTAATCTAAATTTAAGGTTTTTTGAAGATGAAGTAAAGAAAAATTTTTTTCTCCAATACGTTTTAGAATTGAGACATGAAACTTCCTGAGGTTGCAGAAAAACATTTCAGGTTAGGTTGTACCAAATTTTAAGTTTCCAGGTTGAACGGTTCTTTTTATAAAAATTTATATAAATTACCAACCTAAATTTGACGTTTTTTGAAGATGAAGTAAAGAAATTTTTTTTCTCCAATACGTTTTAGAATTGAGGCATGAAACTTCCTGAGGTTGTAAAAGAATACTTGAGGTTCAATTATACCAAATTTTAAGTTTCCAAGTTGTACGGTTATTTTTATAAAAATTTATATAAATTACCAATCTAAATCTGACGTTTTTTGAAGATGAACTAAAAAAAAATGTTGTTCTCCAATACGTTTTAGAATTGACACATTAAACTTCCTGAGGTTGTAAAAGAATACTTGAGGTTAAGTTATACCAAATTTTAAGTTTCCAGGTTGAACGGTTCTTTTTATAAAAATTTATATAAATTACCAACCTAAATTTGACGTTTTTTAAAAGAATTTTTTTTTCTCCAATACGATTTAGAATTGAGACATGAAACTTTCTGACGTTGTAAAAGAGTACTTGAGGTTAAATTATACCAAATTTTAAGTTTCCAAGTTGAACGGTTCTTTTTATAAACATTTATACAAATTGCCAATCTAAATTTAAGGTTTTTTTAAAGATGAAGTAATGAAAATTTTTTTTCTCTAATACGGTTTAGAATTGAGACATGAAACTTCCTGAGGTTGTAAAAGAATACTTGAGGTTAAGTTATACCAAATTTTAACTTTCCAGGTTGAACGGTTCTTTTTATAAAAATTTATATAAATTGCCAACCTAAATTTGACGCTTTTTGAAGATGAAGTAGACAATTTTTTTTCTCCAATACGTTTTAGAATTGAGACATGAAACTTCCTGAGGTTGCAGAAGAACATTTCAGGTTAGGTTGTACCAAATTTTAAGTTTCCAGCATCAACGAGTCTTTTTATAAAAAAATATATAAATTACCAATCTAAATTTGACGCTTTTTGAAGATGAAGTAAAGAAAATTTTTTTTCTCCAATACGGTTTAGAATTGAGACATGAAACTTCCTGAGGTTGTAAAAGAATACTTGAGGTTAAGTTATACCAAATTTTAAGTTTCCAAGTTGAACGGTTCTGTTTATAAAAATTTATATAAATTACCAATCTAAATTTGACACTTTTTGAAGATGAAGTAAAGAAACATTTTTTTCTCCAATACGTTTTAGAATTGAGACATGAAACTTCCTGAGGTTGTAAAAGAACATTTGAGGATAGGTTGTACCAAATTTTAAGTTTCCAGCTTGAACGGTTCTTTCTATAAAAATTTTTATAAATCGCCTACCTGAATTTGGTAATTTTTGAAGCTCAACTAAAGAAATTTTTTTCTCCGAAACAATTTGGAATTAAGAAACAGAATTTTTTGGGGTTATAAAAAAACATTTGAGGTTAAATTATACCAAATTTGAAATTTCCTGGTTGAGTGGTTCTTGCCCTAAAAAATGTTATAAATCGCCAAATTTGTATTTGACGTTTCTTGAAGATAATAATTAATTGAAACAATTTAAACAAGTTGTAATGTAATATATGGATTGCAATAATTTCTTTTGATATATTTTTAAAACCTTACTCTCGCTTTCGTATCTTTGACACTGACCCAGATTTTAAACCACCGAATTTTTTACCTTTGCTCAACGGCAGCCAGTGATTTAGGATCCATCCACTCGACCATGTCTATAATTTTGTAAGGATCCAAGTTTAATGGGTATACTTTTTCTTCCATTTCGCTAATTTCCACGTTGCAATACGCGGTTGATAAATGAACAACGGACTAAAACATAATACGTTGTAATAATAAGTTTTAAATACAAAAAAAGATGTACAATTAATTTTTTAATTTTCATACAAAAATTATACAATTGCATCGTAGATTTTGTATTCGCCATAATTGCATCTTTTAAATTTAAATCCATTCTGATAGCGGCCGCTAAATGGAATACAATGGAGACTTCTTCGATGAGTTTATTCTTGTCTTCTTCCGACATGTCAAAGTCATTTTTGGTGATGTCTCCTCGAATTGGTTTGATTTTTTCAAGGTGGGAAGGATCAATGTTGTTCAAGGTGAATGGCTTAAAATTAAGGTGATTTAGTGTTTTTAAAAATAAATCTTTGAAGGTTAAATGTAAATAATATTAATAAAAAGGAGTACTCACCAAACTGCTAACTAATTTTTTAACTCTTTCTTCAACACTTAAACCTTTTTTGGGTCTTAAAAGGATATAAATCGTATCTATGCAAGGTAAAGATCGAACTAATTTTTCTAAAAGCACTTTTCCCATAAATCCCGTTCCACCAGTAACAAAAATTGTTCTTCCTGTATAAAAATCCGCGACAGACGACGCGCTAAATTCTGGCTGAGAATTATTCATGATGATTTATTTAAAATTTAATTAGGAAATGAACCTTGTTGGTCGACGAGATTTTAAAGAATGACTTCACATTTGAACTTACTGTCGTATTTACCACAACTGGCGTCCTTCATTAATTCCAAACTGGAACCAAGTTAAACCGAGTGGTGTACAATTTTCGCTATGTTAATCTTAATGAAAATTGAATACGCTGAGTTTAGAATGTGTTTTTGTTTAGTCAGCGGTTTTTGAAATAAACGTGGGGATTTTTAAATTGTATAAAAATGATTTCAATACATTCATGAATTTTTATAACTCCGTTTCAATGCGTTCAAGAGGTTAAAAACATTTACAATTTAAACTCCTATTGTTTTAAATCATCGAGTTTATTGTGTTTCAGGTTTACATTCAAACGACCTAAGACCTCTAATGACTGGATTTAAAACAAAAATTAACGGATTAATGACAAAAATAAATTTATAATCCAATATAGGAAGAGAATTTTAAGAAAAGCATCCACAACGAATAATCTACAAAAAAAAAAACATTATTTTAATCATAAAAGATTGCAGAAAATACTTACATTTTATTTCTTATCCTATAAATGTCCAAATTCTCATCGTAATCCTTAATTAAATATTTTCGCGCTGAAAAGTAACCTTCCCTCAAGTATTTTTGCACATCAATATTAACTAAATCGATGGAATAAAACTTTTCTTTGTCCTCATTCGTCAATTCTTTAGTGGACTTGGTTAAATTATCAATGGAAAATTCCCATTTCTTTACGGCAAAATGATACAAAACTTTCGAGGCCGCAAAAATACGTTTCTGAATATTCACCAAGCTTAAACCCAAACAACATTTTTTTAAGAATTCTAAACATATTAAAAAAATCGACTCACAACGGCTTTTGTAAGAAAATGATAAGCAGGAAATCTATGAAATATGCCGGAATAAAATGGAAAATATAAGTCAATAGTACATTTAAATTGTAATTTGTCGTCACAGAATATCGTGGATACCAAAGAATGGTTTTGAATGGATATTTATGAGCGTAATGCAGAAGGACGTCGAAAACTTCTCCCCAGGACATATCATAAAGATTTCCTTGTGTTAAGTTAAATGTAGGTGTTTCCGAATGCCTTAAAAATAAAGAATTTGCTTATGTAGTAAAAATAAAAATTTAAAAATTCGTATCTTAAGAACGAAATGAGATATCATGATGATGAAACAAACATATTGAAGCAAATTTAATGAAGAATTGATGTGCCATAAATGATTTCTTAGTTTTCATTAACTTCGTTGTTATGATTTTTTTAAACTCAACTCTCCATCTTAATTTATTTTTAAGGAATAAAAATTCAAAGATTCGTATCTTAAGAACCAAGTGAGATATCATGATGATGTAACAAACATATTAAAGCAAATTTAATGAAGAATTAACATACCATAAATCATTTCTTAGTTTTCATTAACTTCGTTGTTATGATTTTTTTAAATTCAACTCTCCATTCTAGCTTATTTTTAAGAAATACAAGTTTAAAAGTTTGCACCTTAAGAACGAAGTGAGATATCATGATGATGTAACAAACATATTAAAGCAAATTTAATGAAGAATTAATATGCCAAAAATGATTTCTTAGTTTTCATTAACTTCGTTGTTATGATTTTTTTAAACTCAACTCTCCATTTTAATTTATTTTTAAGTAATAAAAATTCAAAGATTCGTATCTTAAGAACGAAGTGAGATATCATGATGATGTAACAATCATTTTAAAGAAAATTTATTGAAGAATTAACATGCTATAAATGACTTCTTAGTTTTCGTTAACTTCGTTGTTATGATTTTTTTAAACTCAACTATCTATCTTAGTTTATTTTTAAGAAATAAAAATTCAAAAATTTGTATCTTAAGAACCAAGTGAGATATCATGATGATGTAACAAACATATTAAAGCAAATTTAATAAAGAATTAATATGCCATAAATGATTTCTTAGTTTTCATTAACTTCGTTGTTATGATTTTTTTAAACTCAACTCTCCATCTTAATTTATTTTTAAGGAATAAAAATTCAAAGATTCGTATCTTAAGAACCAAGTGAGATATCATGACGATGTAACAAACATATTAAAGCAAATTTAATGAAAAATTAACATACCATAAATGATTTCTTAGTTTTCATTAACTTCGTTGTTATGATTTTTTTAAAATCAACTCTCTATTTCAGTTTATTTTAAAAAAATAAAAATTCAAAAATTCGTATCTTAAGAACCAAGTAAGATATCATGATGATGTAACAAACATATTAAAGCAAATTTAATGAAGAATTAACATGCCATAAATGATTTCTTAGTTTTCATTAACTTCGTTGTTATGATTTTTTTAAACTCAACTCTCCATCTTAGTTTATTTTTAAGAAATAAAAATTCAAAAATTCGTATCTTAAGAACGAAGTGAGATATCATGATGATGTAACAAACATATTAAAGCAAATTTAATAAAGAATTAACATGCCATAAATGATTTCTTAGTTTTCATTAACTTCGTTGTTATGATTTTTTTAAACTCAACTCTCCATCCTAGTTTATGTTTAAGAAACAAAAATTCAAAACTTCATATCTTAAGAACGAAATGAGATATCATGATGAAATAAGTAACGTTTTAAAGCAAGTTTCATGAAGATTTAATGTGCCTTGAATGATTCCTTAGTTTCGATTGACTTAGTTGTTATGATTTTTTAAATCCAATGATGCATATTAGATTGCTATTTCTTTTAAAAATAGAAGTTTAAAAAATCATATCTTAAGACCAAATTGAGATATTATCAAGTTAATTTGAAAATTACTTTTGTATTGAACCCAACCCAACCTAACCCATCCTAACTCAATTCAACCCAACCCAACTATCCATCCTAGTTTATTTTTAAGGAATAAAAATTCAAAGATTTGTATCTTAAAAACCAAGTGAGATATCATGGTGATGTAACAAACATATTAAAGCAAATTTAATGAAGAATTAACATGCCATAAATGATTTCTTAGTTTTCATTAACTTCGTTGTTATGATTTTTTTAAACTCAACTCTCCATCTTAGTTTATTTTTAAGAAATAAAAATTCAAAAATTCGTATCTTAAGAACGAAATGAGATATCATGATGAAATAAGCAACGTTTTAAAGCAAATTTCATGAAGATTTAATATGCCATAAATCATTCCTTAGTTTCGATTAACTTAGTTGTTATGATTTTTTAAATCGAATGCTGCAATATTAGATTGTTATCTCCTTTAAAAATAGAAGTTTAAAAAGGCATATCTTAAGAACAAATTGAGATATTATCATGTTAATTTGAAAATTACTTTTGTTTTGAACGTTCGTATCCAGCCAATATTAAGCCATTAATCGCAATGTCAACTGGAATTACTTGTGGAGAAAGATTTCGATCCACCAAAGCTGTTTTCAAAACTCCTTTTCCAGCCGCTATTAAAAGCCCAATAGGTCCGTAAAAATTATCAACCCAACCCGCAATTGGTTCGTATAAGGCTGGAACAACTAGTACAAGAAAGAATGTTGTATGTTTAATAAAAATAAATTTAAAAATTATTTAGTTGAACTCACCAATAGATGGTCTTGTAATTACAATTGGTAATTTGTCACCCATATCTTTCGCAATGATTTCTGAAAGTCGTTTGGTAAATGTATAGGTGTTTGGATGTGGAGAAGTTATGCTAAAATGTTTTACAAAATTTTGTCTTTATTTTTGATTAATTAAAAGAATTGGATTAACAATGTGTATGATATAAAATGATAATTGATGAATTTAAAATAAAAAATGTTTTTCGATGAACATAAAAATCCATTTTAGCACTACATAAAGAAAATACAACTTGATGAAAAGATCTAATAAAAATAATCTGAAAAGAAAACAATTAATACAAAATAATTTGTTTAGATGTCTTACATTTTATCACGTATTTTGTAAAGTGTGTAGTTGTCTGAAGTTTCATTTGTCAAATATTTGTTTGTCGCCTCGAACACAGCATTAATGTATTCATCAAATTCAATTTCTTCTAAATGTCCTTTCATATAAAATAGGTCTCTATCATTCTCGTGAAGTTGTTCATTCAATTTCAAAGAGTTGGTGTTGTCAAATGACCATTTTTTTATTGTAAAATGTTGCAAAACATTCCATGTCGCCAATAGGCGCTTTTGTATAGAGATTAAACTTAGAATATAAAATATTTAAATTAGGTAATGTTAGTTACAAGTTAAAACTCACAAAGGTTTTTGCAAGAACATAATCAAAAGTAAATCAATTACTAAAGCTGGAAAGATTTGAAAAAGTATCATGTAAGTCATATACACGTAATAAGATTTTGTTGCTGTAAATCTTGGATACCAAATAACATATTTATAAGGGTACTCTTTATTTATCTTATTAAATCTGACGAAATAATCTCGCCAACTGGGAAAATCTACATTACCATTGGTTACGTTGAGAACCATCGAAGAATGTCTAAATAATAATGCATGAAATTTAATTAATTTAGTGTTTCACATAAATTTCTTACATGTTTGTTGCTCGTTCATATCCACTAACAATTAAATTATTAATAGCAACATCAACCGGTATCGTTTGTGGTACTAAATCTTGATCAATATAAGCTACTCTTAAAATTCCTTTTCCACCTGCATAAAACAGTCCTACTGGGCCGTTAAAATTATCTGCCCAACCTGCAATTGGTTCTTTAACCGAAGGCGTAACTAAAATAGAATTATTTTAAAATCAATCTTTTAAATATCCTTTTCTTACCAATTGAAGGCCTTGTTATAATCAAAGGAATTTTATCTCTGATATCCTCAGCAATTATTTCTGAAAGTCTCTTGGTAAAAGTATAAGTGTTTGGATGGGGACCTAACAGACTACACAAATTTTTAATATAAAAGGGTTAATAAAGAAATGTAAAGGTGATACAAATATAGAGATTAGTGCTAAAATGAATTTTAATGTTCCCATTTATTATCTTTAACAATACGTACTTCTTTGTTATGCAAGCTAAAGATTTATCGTCCATCCATTCAACCAAATCCATAATTTTATAAGGATCAACATTCAATGGATATACCTTCTCTTCCATGTAACTAACTTCAACGTTACAAAAAGCTGTAGATAAATGAACAACAGACTGAAAAATAAATTGTTACTAAGTCTCCATATCAGTGACACAATTCACCTTCAATTCTTTTATGTTCATACAAAACTTAAATAATTGATACGTCGATTTAGTGTTAGTTATAACGGCTTCTTTTAACGATAAATCCATTCGAACAGAAGCCGCAACATGAAATACAATGGAAACCTCTTCGATTAACTTCTTTTTATCAATCTCTGACATATCAAAATTTTCTTTGGTGATATCACCACTGATAGCTTCGATTTTGTCGTAAGCTCTTTGATTCATGTTATGAAACGTAAATATCTTCGAAGAATTTTTTAATAATTATTAATTTAAATTAATTAAAACTCACCAAGCCATCTGTTAATTGTTTAACTCTTTCTTGCGGTGTACACCCTTTTTTAGGACGAATTAGGATATAAATTTTTTTAATATCAGGTAAACTGCGTACTAACTTTTCCAACAAAACTTTTCCCATATAACCAGTTGCGCCAGTTATAAATACCGTTTTTCCGGCGTAAAATTCAGTAATTGGGCTCATTTTACCCAAGAGATTTTTAAAGGTCGCGTTTAAGTATTATTAAACTCAATAAGGTACTGCTGTGCATTAAATCTTTTATATTAATACTTCTGTATGGAAATTTATTGACGGATTTTGCAAACAATTACACCACAATAATTTATGGGAATACTTAGCATATAGCAATAAATTAATTTATTGAATAAGTACTTTTGTTTTTTTTTTTGATTAAAGAAAAATCAATTGTCATCATGAGAATTCCATTTATAAATGAATGGTACTATATTTGATCATCTAAAAACAGTTTTAATACATCTTAGATGATTATTAATATCTTACATATGCATGTAATACATATTGTCATAGACGATACATTTGTGCAAAGCAGACAATCTTGGAGGCCAATTAACGATGAAACTACAAACCGTAGAGAATATGTTTTAGTATATAAAATGAAGAACAAATCTTCCTTTATAACCCCAAAAAGTTTCATTTTTTTATTTGCAATACTTTAGAAGAAACGAATTATTAAAGTTGTATGTTACAAAATGTCATTTTTATTACCAGTTTAGGTTATGTTGGGTTTAAGAATTTTTTTTAAAGAAACTATAAATCGTAGATAATATGTTTTAGTATATAAAATGTAGAGCAATTCTTCCTTTATAACCTCAAAAAGTTTCGTTCTCTTATTTGCAATACTTTAGCAGAAACGACTTATTAAAGTTGTATGTTACAAAATGTCATTTTTATTACGAGTTTAGGTTATGTTGGGTTTAAGAATTTTTTTGAAAGAAACTATAAATCGTAGAGAATATGTTTTAGTATATAAAATGTAGAGCAATTCTTCCTTTATAACCTCAAAAAGTTTCATTTTCTTATTCGCAATACTTTAGCAGAAACGAATTATTAAAGTTGTATGTCACAAAATGTCATTTTGATTACGAGTTTAGGTTATGTTGGGTTTAAGAATTTTTTTGAAAGAAACTATAAATCGTAGAGAATATGTTTTAGTATATAAAATGTAGAGCAATTCTTCCTTTATAACCTCAAAAAGTTTCATTTTCTTATTCGCAATACTTTAGCAGAAACGAATTATTAAAGTTGTATGTCACAAAATGTCATTTTGATTACGAGTTTAGGTTATGTTGGGTTTAAGAATTTTTTTGAAAGAAACTATAAATCGTAGAGAATATGTTTTAGTATATAAAATGTAGAGCAATTCTTCCTTTATAACCTCAAAAAGTTTCATTTTCTTATTCGCAATACTTTAGCAGAAACGAATTATTAAAGTTGTATGTCACAAAATGTCATTTTGATTACGAGTTTAGGTTATGTTGGGTTTAAGAATTTTTTTGAAAGAAACTATAAATCGTAGAGAATATGTTTTAGTATATAAAATGTAGAGCAATTCTTCCTTTATAACCTCAAAAAGTTTCATTTTCTTATTCGCAATACTTTAGCAGAAACGAATTATTAAAGTTGTATGTCACAAAATGTCATTTTGATTACGAGTTTAGGTTATGTTGGGTTTAAGAATTTTTTTGAAAGAAACTATAAATCGTAGAGAATATGTTTTAGTATATAAAATGTAGAGCAATTCTTCCTTTATAACCTCAAAAAGTTTCATTTTCTTATTCGCAATACTTTAGCAGAAACGAATTATTAAATTTGTATGTTACAAAATGTCATTTTTATTACGAGTTTGGTTATGTTGGGTTTAAGAATTTTTTTGAAAGAAACTGTAAATCGTAGAGAATATGTTTTAGTACATAAAATGTAGAAAAATTCTTCCTTTATATCCTCAAAAAGTTTCATTTTCTTATTCGCAATACTTTAGTAGAAACGAATTTTTAAAGTTGTTTGTCACAACCGTTAAATTAGTTAGTACGAAGTTATGTTGGGTTTAAGAATTTTTTTCACAGAAACTATATAACATAGAAAACATGATATATGATAAATCACAAGTCTCAATATATATAAAGCCCAAACGATTAACATAGTAGGTAGGACATATTTAGAGGATTCCGGATGGAAGAGTATCAACGTCTTCATTACAAGGACAACTTGGAAGACGATGAGGGGAAGAGGAAAATTCCCAAGACTCGAATTGGGCTGTAGCATCATTGGATAACCAAATAATACAACACCATAAACAACACCATATATTTAATAATAAAATAAAGTACAATTAACATTAAATTATATCAACCAATTATTGAGACATAAAAAACTCCACTTCAACATCAAATACACAAAATAGAATTTAACAAATCGATCCAATAAATATAATCTAAAACGAAAAAATAATTACTTAAAGTATTATTATTAATTTCATAAATTACATTTTTCCCCGAAATCGATAAAACTCATAATTCTCCGAATTATCTTTAACCAAATACTTTTTGGTGATTTGTTGAGTGTGAAAAGCGTACTCTTTTAAATCGATCGATTTCGACATGATGCCATAAAAAACTTCTTTATCAGCTTTATTAAGTTTTTCTTCCAGTTTAATGCAATTACCGTTAGCAAAGGTCCATTTTTTCACAATGAAGTCTTGTAGAGTTTGAAACGTTTGTAGTATTCGCTTTTGTATGTTAATCAAGCTTAAAAAAAATTAAAATCAAATTTAATCATTTAATTAGAAGTCGCACTTACAAAGGTTTCTGTAAAAACATAATTAATAAAAAATCGATTATTAAAGCGGGAATAATTTGGAATAAAAACGAACAAATTAAGAAGACGTAATAAGATTTTGTAACGTAAGCCCCGGGATGCCAAAGAACGTGTTTAAACGGGTATTTAAGTCCTTGCTCTGTGTATGCTTCTATGATTTCACGCCAAGTATATGGATATTTACGACCACTTGTTAAATTAATCGTGGGAGTTATTGCATAACTAAAATAATAAGAAATAAAGATTGAAATAAATGTTAAATAATATTTACGTTGTATTTGCTCTTTCGTATCCACTGCATATTATGGTGTTTATGGCGAAATCTACGGGGATTGTTTCGGGGACACTATCTTGATCCATTAAGCATACCTTTAAAACCCCTGTTCCAGCAGCTGTAAATAATCCTAAAGGGCCGTTAAAATTATCCACCCAACCCGGAGTTGGTTCGCACAAAGAAGGAACAACTAATTAAAAAATTACGAAGAATTAAATTGAATTAATTTAATTTTAAACGTACCAATAGAAGGTCTTGTTATAATTATTGGTATTTTATCACCCATATCGATTGCTATTAATTCGGCAAGTCTTTTGGTAAATGTGTAAGTATTTGGATGAGAACCTAATATTCTAAAAAAGAATTTATATAACCTAATATATCTCTTTAAAAGGGTTTAAATGAAAATTAAGAACTGATTTTGATTAAAGCTAACATTGATCTTTAAAGTGATGTATGAAACATGATAGGTTGGATTATGAAAATTATGAGATATGTTCGTTTTACGTTTTCAACTTAATTTGAAAATGTTAAGATGTAAGGTGAAACTTAAACAATCGTAGAAGGGGTATTTATGGAAATTAAGAAATGATTTTGGTACTAAATTAAAGCTGAAACATTCCTCTTTAAAATGATGTATGAAACATGTTGGGTTGTATTATGAAAATTATTAGATAAAGTATTTGTAACATTTTCGGCTTAATCTCGAAATGTCAAAATGCAAGGTGAAGCTTAAAAACTTGCAGAAGGGGTATTTATGGAAATTAAGAAATGATTTTAGTACCAAATTAAAGCTGAAACATTCCTCTTTAAAATGACGTATGATACATATTGAGTTGTATTATAAAAATTATTAGGTATGTTTGTTTTACATTTTCAACTTAATTTCAAAATGTCAAAATGTAAGATGAAACTTAAAAAATTGTAGAACTGATATTTATGGAAATTAAGGAATGATTTTGGTACTAAATTAAAGCTGAAACACCTCTTTAAAATTATGTATGATACATATTAGGTGGTATTATAAAAATTATTAGATATGTTTGTTTTACATTTTCAACTTAATTTCAAAATGTTAAGATGTAAGGTGAAACTTAAAAAATTGTAGAAGGGATATTTATGGAAATTAAGAAATGATTTTGGTATTAAATTAAAGCTGAAACATTCCTCTTTAAAATGATGTATGAAACATGTTGGGTTGTATAATGAAAATTATTAGATAAAGTATTTGTAACATTTTCGGCTTAATCTCGAAATGTCAAAATGCAAGGTGAAACTTAAAAAGTTACGAAAGGGGTATTTATGGAAATTAAGAAATGATTTTAGTACCAAATTAAAGCTGAAACATTCCCCTTTAAAATAATGTATGATACATATTGGGTTGTATTATAAAAATTATTAGAAATATTTGTTTTACATTTTCAACTTAATTTCGAAATGTTAAAATGTAAGGTGAAACTTAAAAAATTGTAGAAGGGATATTTATGGAAATAAAGGAATGATTTTGGTATTAAATTAAAGTTGAAACAATCGCCTTTAAAGTGATGTATGAAACATGTTGGGTTGTATTATGAAAATTATTAGTAAAGTATTTATAACATTTTCGGCTTAATCTCGAAATGTCAAAATGCAAGGTGAAGCTTAAAAACTTGCAGAAGGGGTATTTATGGAAATTAAGAAATGATTTTTGTACTAAATTAAAGCTGAAACATTCCTCTTTAAAATGATGTATGAAACATGTTGGGTTGTATTATGAAAATTATTAGATAAAGTATTTGTAACATTTTCGGCTTAATCTCGAAATGTCAAAATGCAAGGTGAAGCTTAAACACTTGCAGAAGGGGTATTTATGGAAATTAAGAAATGATTTTAGTACTAAATTAAAGCTGAAACATTCCTCTTTAAAATGATGTATGATACATATTAGGTTGTATTATAAAAATTATTAGATATGTTTATTTTACATTTTCAACTTAATTTCAAAATGTTATAATGTAAGATGAAACTTAAAAAATTGTAGAAGGGATATTTATGGAAATTAAGAAATGATTTTGGTATTAAATTAAAGCTGAAACATTAGCCTTTAAAGTGATGTATGAAACATGTTGGGTTGTATTATGAAAATTATTAGATAAAGTATTTGGAACATTTTCGGCTTAATCTCGAAATGTCAAAATGCAAGGTGAAACTTAAAACGTTGAGGAAGGGGTATTTATGGAAATTAAGAAATGATTTTAGTACCAAATTAAAGCTGAAACATTCCTCTTTAAAATAATGTATGATACATATTGAATTGTATTATAAAAATTATTAGAAATGTTTGTTTTACATTTTCAACTTAATTTCAAAATGTCAAAATGTAAGGTGAAACTTAAAAAATTGTAGAAAGGATATTTATCGAAATTAAGAAATGATTTTGGTACTAAATTAAAGCTGAAACATTCCTCTTTAAAATGATGTATGATACATATTAGGTTGTATCATAAAAATTATTAGATATCTTTGTTTTACGTTTTAAACTTAATTTCAAAATGTAAAGAATGTTGTACCGCCAAATTTGATATTAAAATAAGAAAAAATATTTACTTTTTAGTAATTTTAGATAATGATTTATCATCCATCCACTCGACCATGTCAATAATTTTATAAGGATCAACATCCATCGGGTACACTTTCTCCTCCATATTTTTAATTTCAACATTACAAAAAGCTGTGGATAAATGAACAACAGACTGAAAAATAAATCGTTACTAATTTTCCATATAAGTGACAAAATTCACCTTCAATTCTTTTATGTTCATACAAAACTTAAATAATTGATGTGTTGACTTGGTATTCGTAATAACTGCTTCTTTCAATGGAAGATCCATCCTAACCGACGCAGCAAGATGAAACACAACTGATACCTCGTTAATTAACTTTTCTTTATCACTTTCAGACATATCGAAATCTTCTTTGGTTATATCCCCGCTGATTGCTTCAATTTTTTCGTAAGCTTTTTGAGTCATATTGTGAAAGGTGAATATCTTAAAAATTTGTTTTATTTATTAATATTAACTTAAATATTAGAAATTGTAAAATAACTCACAGTGTTCTCGGTTAATTGCTTAATTCTTTCTTGTGGAGCACAACCTTTCTTAAAACGCATCAAAATGTAGATTTTTTTAATATCGGGTAAACTTCTAACTAATTTTTCTAATAGAACTTTTCCCATAAAACCCGTTGCTCCTGTTACAAACACCGTTTTTCCTTTATAAAACTCTGTGATGGGACTCATTTTGTATCGATTTAAAAATTGATCTAAAAATAAAATTTCGCCAGTGATTTTCTTTTTATATTAACTTTGAAAATACCCCTATTTATGCATATCATGATCCATTACAATAATTTATACTGCTTGTATGGTAACAGTTTTTTAATGAATATTGCAAAGACTTCAAAATATTTTTTTGTTATTGTAATCTGCGCATTAATTGCGAATTTGAAGTAGATTCTAATAAATATTAATTTGTTATTGTTTTTTATCGATTTGTGGTTAATTAAATTAGTGATGTAATAAAAGTTTTGATAAATTAAAAATAATATATTTATAAATTAATTGACATTCCAGTTTTTTGAACCATTTCGTAAAACATTCCCTTTTTCTCAAGTAAAATCCGAGGATGACCAATTTCTTTCTTCGTCTAGTATAAAAATCTTATTTTTTTTAATAATCGTCCTTGCTAAATAAATTAATTGCCGTTGACCCGTACTTAAATTTAAACCACCATCTGTAATTTTAGTCAAAAGCCCATCTGGGAGATTAGCAACAACGCTTTTCATTTCAACATCTCTTAAGGCATTCCAAATTTTCAAATCGGAAAATTATTGAAAAGGATCCAAGTTATTTCTCATCATATCAGATAATAAAAATGGATGTTGCGGAATAATCGAAATACTCTGGCGGAGTCTCTCCAAAGAAATCTCTTTTATATTCACCCCATCAATCAAAATATTCCCACTCGTATAAGCAAGTTGGAAAAAAGCACCACATAAAGATGATTTCCCCGCACCCGTTCTCCCAACAACCCCAACTTTTTGACCAGGTTTTATAACAAAATTTAAATCCTTAGATACAACGAAGCATACAATAAATTAGCACCTTCAAACTCAATCAATTCATTTTCAGGCCACGACACTCTCCATACCACATTTCGATTACAATCATCACCGTCTAATTCGGTGTATTCAACGATTATTTCGGCAGATGTAAAATTTATTATCAATTCACGTAGCTGTTTTATACTAAATGGAGCAAGCATCATTAACATGATCGATTGCGATATTGCTAAACCAACAAATTCAACATCAACATCATTAAAAAAGCAAGTAAATGTTACAACAGCAAGTAACATTGCGCAAAAAGTTTCGTCTGCTATTCCTAAAGCATGGGTACAACACAAAGACATAAACCATGTCGAGGAATGCTTATTTTGATATCGATCGTAGATATTATTGCAATTACTTTGTTTTAGAAATGCTCTAATTGTTGATAATCCTTTTAAAGATGATGTTACGTATGTTATAACGGGAGATCTGGCTAAAATTGAAAGCAGTTAAATTTATTTGGATGAAATGGAGTTTAAATTGGAATTATTTGAATGGTAATATTACAAGTCTTACCACAACTTATTATAAAACCGAGGTGCTACATTTCATGCCATTATGGCATAATTAGCATTATTAGTTCTAGTGACAGTGCAAGTGTAAAACTAGAACTAACACCATACCTAGAACTGCAATCATTCGGGTTTAGCCGTCTTTAGAGACGTGTGGCTAAACCCGAATGATTCTAGTTCTAGGTATAGTGTTAGTTCTACATAGTAACAGTACTAGTGTAAAACTAGAAGTAACACTAGACTAGTGCTAGTTCTATATAGTAACCTTTTTCCAAGCAAAACTTTTCCTTTGCAAAACATAATAAATGAGATATTATTATATAAACATATAAATGAAATACAAAAAGAGGTGTCTGTCAATTGTACACAACAATGTAGAACAGCTGTACTCAATAAATGTATTATTTGAAAATAAAACGTTTAACAATTTTCCACACGATATTAGTATTAGGTGACATCATGTTGTAATTAAAGATTTGCATGTTGAATTGTGTAGCGCTATTATTTCTAAAGCACATTATTTTGTGAACCTGATATCTTTTGATAGAGTTTACATTATTGCTATTAAAGAAAAAGTTGTTTCAAATGATTGAATGAAATTAAAGGATTAATCAAACGCATTTAATAAAACAAAAAAAAATAATTTAAAGATAAACCTAATAACTGATAATGATATAATATTATATAATAACTGTTGCAACTTTTTATAATTGTAGTATAATTGTTTTATTTGTTTGGAGTAATATATCTTAAGTGGCCTTTAACATGACGCATTCGCAGCTTAATTATTATAAAGGTTTAATAAAAAAAAAGGTGTTTCAAATGCTTGAATGAAATTAAAGGTTTAATTAAGCACGTTTATAAACAAAAAAAAAATAAAGATAATCCTAATAACTGATAATGATATAATAGTTGTTGCAATTTTTTATAATTGTAGTCATAATTACAATTATAATGTATTTTATATTTTTTACATTATATTGTATTTTTTTGTACAATTAAGCTTATTTTCTAATAAAGGCATTTATTATTATAATTAAATGAACTCATCTGCATAACAAAATGTATGCATGAATGTTTCTAGTTCTAGGTATAGTGTTAGTTCTACATAGTAACCTTTTTCCAAGCAAAACTTTTCCTTTGCAAAACTACCCAATGCTTGTACTATTAACCTATGTTGAATTTTATGTGGGATTTTATGTGAATTTATTGCGAGTTATATGAAATTACCGGTTATATAAAATTAGAATAATAATAAAACGGTTTTAATTAAGACCTGGTTGTTTGCGACCGAGGCGCTACATTTAATACCATTGAAGACATAATATTATGCATCGTCTACAAGCCATCTTGCCCAGATTAGAACGGAGAGTGCATTATCTTATTAAGCCGAGGTTGTTTGCGGCCGAGGTGCTACATTTCATACCATCATTGACATAACTCGACCGCAAGCGTCCTCGGATTAATTAGGATCTTGTAAAGCTGAGGTTGCTTTGGCCGAAGTGCTATATGTGATACCATTGTGGACATAACATAAGTAAGTGACATCGTCCTAATAATATGGAAGCATACTTTTCGTCCTAATTAAGCCAAGGTCGCTTGAGGCCGAGGTGCTACGTTTGATAACACTATAAACATAATATTATGCAACCTCGGTTTAATTAGGACAAATGATAAATTCTTAGTTCTAAATAAGATTAATTTAACTTACTTTCTAATATTAAAAATTAATTTTGAAAAATATTTCTCCCACGTGTACATTTTAATAATTTGAATCCCATTTAAAATTTCATTCATTATTTTAATCCTTTCATCTGTTATTTCAATCTCTTCGGATTTCCACTTACCAATACATCTCGCAATCAAAACTAAAACACTCTTATTTGCATGGATTATTTAATAATTATAGATGTATAAATGTTGTCCAATGCCGATCAATAAACTGGAAATTGATAATAAAAAAACCGAAATGGATGCATCACCAAGAGATATCGTTTCGTCGTTTTTAGAATAATATGTTAAAAGTTGGATAAATGAAAAGAGTTGAATTAATCTTAAAAGATTTTTGTAAATTTTTGTTCTATAAATAATAATATGATAGCTACCTGAAAAGAATAACTGTTACAAAAATTGCATATAATAACAACATTGATCTAAAAGTTCTCCATATCGCTTTTAATAAAGATGGTTTTCCTAAATTTCCTTCATACCTCCAATTATTTTCTAATGAATCACCAAGACATCGAGATTTGTGTTCTTCGCGTACTCGAAATACATCTTCTTCCATTAACTGTTGTTTATATCCTTTAATAATGGTTAGTAAGAACCAAAAAAATGTGCAATAAGAGAAAAAGTTAACATTTTCTGAAAAATCTTTTGATTTTGAATTATTTTTCCTATAGTTAACTGTTCTTAATTAACATAAGCTTATTAATTAATTGTTTATTTAATGTATGTTAATGAATCTACCCATAATAATTCAGAATAACATGTATACATAGATATAAAAACTACACTTATTTTATTTAATGCTATTTATTTTTTTGGGTCATTTCGAAAAACAGCCCTTTTTTACATAATAAACTATTCGGATCTCCTTTTTCGACAATTTCTCCGTCATTGACAACAAAAATTAAATCACAATCCATCACTGTTTGAATTCTATGAGCTATTATTAATACTGTAGAATTATTACAAGTTTTTTTAATGATTTGATGAATTAAATGTTCAATCTCCAAGTCAACATTAGCAGTTGCCTCATCCATAATTAAAATTTTGTTTTTTAATAAAATTGCTCTTATTAAACAAATAAGTTGTTTTTCTCCTAAACTTAAATCGTTGTTTGATATTAAAGTATCAAGTCCAGAAGGAAATTTTGAAAAAATACTTTTTAATCCTACTTTATCCAGAGTTTCCCATAAAAATACGTCGCTTAGCTGTTGAAAAATATCTAAATTTTTGCGTAAAGTCCCAGAAAAAATTATCGGATCTTGAGGAATTACTGAAATTTTCGACCGCAACGTTTTTAAAGGAACTTTTTTAACATTAACATCATCTATTATTATAACCCCATCAAACTCCATCAATCGCATCAAAGCGGAATACAAAGAAGATTTCCCAGCACCAGTTCTCCCAACAATTCCAACTTTATCTTTAGATTTAATTTCAAAGTTTACGTTGTTCAAAACATAATTAACAGAAACATTTTTAAACTGAATATTCCCATTTTCGGGCCACGTTTTCTTCAAAATCACCTCTTTATTCATTTCAACTTCAGATTTTAACTCTAAATATTCGCTTAATCTTTCAACTGAGGTCATTGTAACGTTAACTTCACAACTTTGCCTTACACACCATTGAACCATTGACATTAATGATATCGATTGAGTTATTGCGAGCCCAATTGTACCAGGTTGAACACCTAAACATTAAGTTTAATAAAAATAATTAACATTTATTAACAACAAAAATACCTTGAATAAAAAAGAAACTAAAAGTGACAATTGTTGTTAATAAAAGAATTAAAACGTCGATTAAAAATCGAAACGTAAAAACGCTCGATAAATACATAAACCATGCTGATGTGTGAACATCTTGTAAATCATCGAATATTTTTTTGTAATTTTCTTCCTTTTTGAAAGCTCGAATAGTTATTAAACCTTCTAAAGTAGTCTTTATGTGAGTGTATAAAGGACTTTTTGCTAAAAAAACAATAAATTAATAATTTAATTAACTCATTAATTAATAGAAACTTACTCGCTCCTTCAAGTCTTTTAATCGCCACGATAAATGGTAAATACACCTTACTTATAAAATAGAATAAAATTGCTAAAGTTGTCATAATTACACAAAACCAATAATTAATGATACTTTTTATAATAAAAACACCCAAAAGTGTTAAGATCAACTAAAACAATAAAATTTCTTTTATTTTAGATTGTATTTGTTTGATTTTGCTAACCAAGATGGTGTCAATGCTGACTGTATGCAGATAATCATCAATTAATCCAAGATCTTTTGAGAATCGATTAATTATTCTTCCAGAAGAATTTAAATGAAAAAAACTAAGCGGTGATGAAATGATTTTTTCAAAAATAGCGTTATGAAATTTTTCTGCACAAGTAACAAACAATAAATAGTATGATGTTATTGATATTATCGATGTGGTTATAATAAATAAAATAATACTTGATAAAGAAATCAAATAATGTTGTCGAGCGGTATCAGTTATGGTGTTATTTACAAGATTTTTATCAATGTTGCTCCTAAAACACAAATTTAAAATAGGTGTTAAATTTGTAATAAAAGACATTAATTCTTTTTGTTCAGATATTGTATTATTAAGAAAAATCAGGTTGAATAATCTAAAACGTCTAAAAGCTTCGAATTTGGTTCTATTTATAAAAATCTTTCAGATATCATCACATTATTTTTATAGCTCATTCAAAATATAATCTTTGAGCTTTAATTTGAGGTATAAGTCAATTTCTAACTCCTCAAAATGAGATTAGGAGGATTTTTTTTAATTTTAATTTTCCGACATAACCTAAATTAACAGGTTTTCGAATTTGATTCTTTTTCTAAAAATTTTTCAGATATCATCTCGTTATTTTTATAGCTCATTCTAAAATAGAATGTTTGAGCTTTATTTTGAGATATGCGTCAATTTTTAACTCCTCAAAATGAAATTAGGAGGATATTTTTAATTTTTGCTTTTTCTGACATAACCCAAATTAACAGGTTTTCGAATGTGATTCTTTTTCTAAAAATTTTTCACACATCATCACATTATTTTTATAGCTCATTCAAAAATAGAATCTTTCAGCTTTATTTTGAGATATAAGTCAATTTCTAACTCCTCAAAATGAGATTAGGAGGATTTTTTTTAATTTTTGCTTTTTCTGACATAACCCAAATTAACAGGTTTTCGAATTTGATTCTTTTTCTAAAAATTTTTTACATATCATTACATTATTTTTATAGCACATTCAAAAATAGAATGTTTGAGCTTTATTTTGAGATATAAGTCAATTTCTAAATCCTCAAAATGAAATTAGGAGGATTTTTTTTAATTTTTACTTTTCTGACATAACCTAAATTAACAGGTTTTCGAATTTGATTCTTTTTCTAAAAATTTTTCACATATCATCACATTATTTTTATAGCTCATTCAAAAATAGAATCTTTCAGCTTTATTTTGAGATATAAGTCAATTTCTAACTCCTCAAAATGAGATTAGGAAGATTTTTTTAATTTTTACTTTTCTGACATAACCTAAATTAACAGGTTTTCGAATTTGATTCTTTTTCTAAAAATTTTTCAGATATCATCTCATTATTTTTATAGCTCATTCTAAAATAGAATGTTTGAGCTTTATTTTGAGATATAAGTCAACTTCTAACTCCTCAAAATGAGATTAGAAGGATTTTTTTAATTTTAACTTTTTCTGACATAACCTAAATTAACAGGTTTTCGAATTTGTATCTTTTTCTAAAAATTTTTCAAATATCATCTCATTATTTTTATAGCTCATTCTAAAATAGAATGTTTGAGCTTTATTTTGAAATATAAGTCAACTTCTAACTCCTCAAAATGAGATTAGGAGGATTTATTAATTTTTGCTTTTTCTGACATAACCCAAATTAACAGGTTTTCGAATTTGATTCTTTTTCTAAAAATTTTTCACATATCATGACATTATTTTTATAGCTCATTCAAAAATAGAATCTTTCAGCTTTATTTTGAGATATAAGTCAATTTCTAACTCCTCAAAATGAGATTAGAAAGATTTTTTTAATTTTTACTTTTCTGACATAACCTAAATTAACAGGTTTTCAAATTTGATTCTTTTTCTAAAAATTTTTCAGATATCATCACATTATTTTTATAGCTCATTCTAAAATAGAATCTTTGAACTTTATTTTGAGATATGAGTCAATTTTTAACTCCTCAAAATGAGATTAGGAGGATTTTTTTTAATTTTTGCTTTTTCTGACATAACCCAAATTAACAGGTTTTCGAATTTGATTCTTTTTCTAAAAATTTTTCAGATATCATCACATTATTTTTATAGCTCATTCTAAAATAGAATCTTTGAACTTTATTTTGAGATATGCGTCAATTTTTAACTCCTCAAAATGAGATTAGGAGGATTTTTTTAATTTTTGCTTTTTCTGACATAACCCAAATTAACAGGTTTTCGAATTTGATTCTTTTTCTAAAAATTTTTCAGATATCATCACATTATTTTTATAGCTCATTCTAAAATAGAATCTTTGAACTTTATTTTGAGATATGCGTCAATTTTTAACTCCTCAAAATGAGATTAGGAGTTTTTTTTTAATTTTTGATTTTTCTGACATAACCCAAATTAACAGGTTTTCGAATTTGATTCTTTTTCTAATAATTTTTCACATATCATCACATTATTTTTATAGCTTAGCAAAAATAGAATCTTCAAGCTTTAATTTGAGATATAAGCCAATTTTTAACTCTACAAAATGAGATCAGAACGATTTTTATAATTTTTTCTTTTTCTGATATAATACTTCAAACAATTTATCTCCCAAAAAAAATAGCGTTTTTAAATAAAACTTACCAATATCCAAGTCCTACATCAAACGTAGCATTACCTACTATAAAAAATATGGTAAATAAAAAAATTAAGATATGTACATAAAAATTTGATCCAAAATACTTTTTATAAACCCCAAAATTTACAGTTCCTTTTCGATAATCTTCCTTAACACCTTCAAATTTCCATCTTTCAAGGTGTTCTTGTGGTGTTTTAATTTCTTTACTTAATTCCTTAATATTATTTTCAGTAAAATTAATTTGGAATCGACTCTTATTTTGCTTATTGTGACTTTTAAGAATTAATTTACCATTTTGAACCACATAAACGCAATCAACGTAATTCAAATATTCAATCTGATTCAAAACTAACACAACGCATTTTTTTCTAAGAAATTTCTTAACGCATTCGTTAAATATAAATTGAGCAACTTGTGAATCAATAGAAGATAAGATATCGTCTAAAAGATAAATATCTGCATCTTTATACAAAGCCCGAGCTAGATTTATTCGTGCTTTTTGACCTCCACTTAAATTTGATCCATTTTCAACGACTTTAAATTCGTCTCCTTTAAAAAGAGTGAGAAGATCGTGTTCTAAAGCACAAATTTTTAGGATTTTTTTGTATTTTTTTGAATTATAAGGTTCTTCAAATAATATATTTTCTTTTATCGTTCCTTTAAAAAGCCATGGTTCTTGGCTACAATAAGAAATTATTCCGTTCACTTTAATTACTCCAACAATAAAATTTTCTTTTAAAATCGTTTTCAAAAATGATGATTTTCCACTACCGACATTTCCAATTAAAGCGACTAATTCGGGTTTTGTTATGCTTAACGAGATATCGTTTAAAACATTATCTTTAGAATTTTCATTCCATTTCGAGTAAACATTTTTTAATGTTATTCCATAGTTTGTTATTTTTGTATCTTCAATTTTAGTTATTTCATTTATTTGTAGAAATTCTTCGATTCTTTTTACACTTACAATAGCTTCTCCCCAACGAAATAAAGTTTGAGGAAAAAATTTATTTAATTGCATCGTTAATAAATTATAAGAAGCAACTAAACCGAATACGTAACTTGGAGTTAAATGATTTCCAATAAAGGAATATGTTAATATACTTGAAAATAATGCGAGTTTTGGAAGGAAATACATAAAAGACATTAATAGTGCTAAGAAAATGGAAGTTGAGCGAAGATATTTAATTTCTTTCCTAAAAAAAATAGAATTTGTGGATTAAATTGGGATATGATTTTTGTAATAATTACTTTCTAGTTTGTTTTAACATAAAAGTGATTGGTTTCTCCCAAGCTAAAATTTTGATGGTTTTGATCCCAAAAATGATTTCATTCAACATTTTAATTCTTTCGTCGGTAATTTTCGCCGTTTTTCGTCTCAATGCGGTTAATTTTTTTCCAATAAAAACTGAAAAAAAAAATCTGGTTCAATTTAAACATTCAAAAAGTCTTTTTTGGTGAATTCATGTCGAGAAAAAGCTAAGGCGGATTTTATTATAGCTTGACTCATAATATTGTTTGCCATCGGTAAAGATTAATATTTATTCGACTTTTATTGTTTAATACACCAAAAGGAAATTTCAAAAAGTCGCTCAGTCCATATTTGTAGAGATTAAATTAGAGATGTAACATGGCTCTGAGATAATTATCACTAAAAATAGCAGACTCACCATGAATAGGAATTATAAAAATAAATATAATAACACCAACAATACCAGTCCATCCGATTACGTAAAAAATAATTATTACTACAATAATAATTTGAATAGGACATATCCATAAGTTATTTATTAATGGTACAAAATAATCGAAACGATTAACGTCGTTTGTTATCAAATTGATAATACGTCCAATGTTTATACCACCACTATCCGACCTTTTACTTATTTTCAAGGATTTTCTGTATATCAAAGAGCTACAAGCAATTCTAACTCTCATTCCAAGTAATCTATAATTGTACATACACTGATGTTGACCGATGATTATTGCTAAACTTGAAAATGTTAAAATACCAGCAGATATAAAAGCGTGAATTTTATGTTTTTCATTTTGTGATTGATCATCTTGGGAAAAATGTTTCATTAAAACGATAAATGACAAACATTGAAGTGTTCTGTAATTAAATAAGTCTAAAAATGAACGTGAAAAATTTTAAATTGTACTTAAATACAAGTTCGGTTGCTATTGATAGAGTTGAGTATAAAAGAAAAGATTTTCCAAAAATTTTGATCACAACTTTCCATAAAGATGGTGATTTTTTTAATTTTTCTTTTTCCCATTCGTGTTCTAAAAGATCTCCTAAACGATTTGATTGGTGATTAAATAAAAGTGTAAAAAGATCTTTTTCTGATAATTCTTGTTTGTATCTTTTAATAATTGTTGGGATAAACCATCTAAAAAAAATGTTTAAATCGAATTTTACTGGATTATTTTACTTACGTGAAGGTACACTTTAAAAATATATTCGCATTTTCTTGAGGATTTATTTTCTCAACCATGATCGAAGAACTAACAATGAAGAATAAAGAAAATCTTTTATAAGATGTAGTTGGTTGGGCAACTTCTATTACACTCTAAAATTGAAACTAACAGTATTCAACATAAAATTAAGTATCGTTTTAGTGGTTTTATCAACTTGTTTATTTACTAAGAATAATATAATAAAGTTTATCAAGGGGTCAATACATTTATTACTCTTAATTTTATTTCATTCCAAATTTAGATTTAAATACTTCTTCAGCTATTTGATACAGATTTTCAGCAATTCCACCTCCCATTTTTTGTACCATATCATAAAACATTCCTTTTTTCTTCAATAAAATGTAGGGATAATCAAACTCAATCATTTCCCCACCACTCATGACCAAAACGAAATCACAATCGATTATCGTTTGTAATCTATGAGCTATAATTAAAATTGTGCACTCCTCAAATTTCCTTTTAATAGTTTTTTGGATTAAATTGTCGGTTTTTGGGTCAACATTAGCGGTGGCCTCATCCATAATTAAAATTTTATTTTTTCTTATAAGTGCCCGAGCCAAACAAACTAATTGTCGTTGGCCGACACTTAATTTTGAACCTCCTTCAATTATTTTGGTTAAAAGACCGTCGGGGAATTCTTTAACGACCTCTTTTAATTCGACCTCCTCCAAAACGTTCCATAATTCCGCGTCGGTAAATTCGTTAAATGGATCTAAATTGTTTCGCATCGTGTCCGAAAACAGTATCGGATCTTGCGGGATAATCGAAATTTTTTTTCTTAAATTGTATAGAGGAATCCTTTTAATATCAACACCATCAATACGAATAAACCCATCCGTGTATGCCAATTGAAAAAGTGACGCGCAAATTGAAGATTTTCCAGCTCCGGTTCGCCCGACGATTCCAATTTTCGATTTCGATTCGATTACAAAATTTAAATCTTTTAATACGACTTTTGAATTTATACTGTATTTTAAATTAACATTGATAAATTCGATTTTTCCGTGAATAGGCCAAGATTTTTCAGGGATTAAATCTCGATTATCTTGATTGTCTTCACCATCAACGTCCAGACTTGAATATTCCATTATTCTTTCGACCGAAGTCATATTAACCATTTGATCATTCGTTAATCTAACGCACCATTGCACTATAGTTACCAATGCTAAACATTGAACTATTACTAATCCTGCTGCGGCATCACGTAAATCTTAAAAAGAAGTAATTATAAATAAGATTTTTTTTAAATCTCATTTTACCATCAATAAAAAACAGTGTAAATGAAATAAACCATAACACAATAACCATTATAAAATCAATTAAAATCCCAAAAGCATGTCCACTAGATATATGCATAAACCAAGAGGATGTGTGAAAATCTTGGGTGAAATCAAAGATGTTTTTATAATATTCTTCCTTATTAAAAACTCTTATTAAAGATAATCCATTAAACGATGTTTTTACATGAGTATAAAGTGGACTTTTTGCTAAAAAAAATTTATTATTGTTAAAATTTGATTTGCCTCGGCTTCACCAATTGGGGTTGTAAATCTTTTGAACCCAGCGATTAAGACTGTATCAACCTCAGAGTGGGCTTTACAACCTCGGTTTTATCGACTGAAGTTGTAAATCTTTTGACTAATTAATCAATAAATTAAACCACAATCTAATAATAATGCTGAATAACAATTAAAACTAGATATAGAACTAGAAACATTCGGGTTTAGCCTCACGTCTCTTAAGACGTCTAAATCCAAATGATTCTAGCTCTACTATATAATCTAATATACGTACTTTTCTAATACGCATATTTAACCTTTCAACTACTTCAATAAAAATGTACAACAATTTAACGCTGAATAACAATTAAAACTTCTAGTTTTACACTAGTACTACCATAATGAAGAACTAACACTATACCTAGAACTAGAATCATTTGGGTTTAGCCGCACGTCTCTAAAGACGGCTAAACCCGAATGATTCTAGATCTAGGTATAGTGTTGGTTCTAGTTTTACAGTAGCACTATCACTAGAACTAACACAAGATCTAACATAGTAACAGTGCTAGTGTAAAACTAGAACTAACATTAGACTTAGAACTAGAAAAATTCGGGTTTACCCGCACATCTCTCAAGACGGCTAAACCCGAATGATTCTAGTTCTAGATATAGTGCTAGTTCTAGTTTTACATTTGCACTGTCACTAGAACTAACATTAGACTTAGAACTAGAAACATTTGGGTTTAGCTGTACGTCTCTTAAGACGGCTAAACCCGAATGATTCTAGTTCTTGATCTAGCGCTGCATAACAATTAAAACTAGAACTAGCACTAGACGTCTCTAAAGACGGCTAAACCCGAATGATTCTAGTTGTAGGTCTAATGTTAGTTCTAGTGACAGTGCAAGTGTAAAACTAGAACTAGCACTATACCTAGACCTAGAATCATTCAGGTTTAGCCGTCTTTAGAGACGTGCGGCTAAACCCAAATGATTCTAGTTCTAGGTATAGTGTTAGTTCTAGTTTTACACTAACACTGTTACTATGTAGAACTAACACTATACCTAGAACTAGAATCATTTGGGATTAGCCGCACGTCTCTAAAGACGGCTAAACCCGAATGATTCTAGTTCTAGATATAGTGCTAGTTCTAGTTTTACATTTGCACTGTCACTAGAACTAACATTAGACCTAGAACTAGAAACAGTTGGGTTTAGCTGTACGTCTCTTAAGACGGCTAAACCCGAATGATTGTAGTTCTTGATCTAGCGCTGCATTACAATTAAAACTAGAACTAACACTAGACCTAGAACTAGAATCATTTGGGTTTAGCCGCACGTCTCTAAAGACGGCTAAACCCGAATGATTCTAGTTCTAGGTCTAATGTTAGTTCTAGTGACAGTGCAAGTGTAAAAATAGAACTAGCACTATACCTAGAACTAGAATCATTCAGGTTTAGCCGTCTTTAGATACGTGCGGCTAAACCCAAATGATTCTAGTTCTAGGTATAGTGTTAGTTCTAGTTTTACACTAACACTGTTACTATGTAGAACTAACACTATACCTAAAACTAGAATCATTCGGGTTTAGCCATCTTTAGAGAAGTGCGGCTAAACCCGAATGATTCTAGTTCTAGGTATAGTGCTAGTTCTAGTTTTACACTTGCACTGTCACTAGAACTAACACTAGACCTAGAACTAGAATCATTTGGGTTTAGCAGTACCTACGTCTCTTAAGACGGCTCTACGATCATCTCGGCCGCTGCCGGCCTCGGCTTTACCAAGTACGACTGTAGATCTTTTGATTCTCAGTGATTAACATTATATTAATCATTTCAATTTCTTAAACTTACTTATTGCTTCAAGTCTTTTAACTGCTAAACATGTTGGGAAAGTGAACCTCATCAAAAATTGAGTTCCAATGATTCCAATTATAAAAATAAACGCAAACCAATAGCAATAGTAACCAATTATAATAATAATCACAAAAACAATAAATAAATTCTAAAAAAATAAGATTCTTTAATTTTTGTATTAAGTAACTCAAATGTTTAACTTACAATTATACCATCTACAAAAATTATCGGAAGAAACTCATCGGTTGTTGATAAATCTTTAGAAAATCGATTTAAAATTCTCCCTGAAGGAGTCGTGTGAAAGAAAATCATCGGTGCGTTGATAACTTTTTTTAGTACAAGTTCGTGTAAATTTTTTGAGGAATTAATCAAAATATTTAGTGAACTGACATGACCTATTATTGCGGCTACGATAACTACAACGACCGCAATTGAAAAAATTGTAAATAAATCTTCTCTGGTTAAAGACAAATTCATTGAATATATCTTAAAATCGATGTTACTCCTAAAATAATTAACTCTTAGAAATGAAGAAAATAAACACCAAAATATCTTACCAAAAAGTTATTATCATATCAAACGCGCCGAAACAAATTAAAAAAGTTAATGTTGATAACAAAGAAAGTGCAAAGAAAGACAAACTTTTACTGAGTTTAAAATAATTTTTGTAAACTTGAAAAGAAACACCTTTGGATGATAAAAATTCTTTTTCTTCAATTTCCATGGTGTTTTTACCTAGATGGCATTCCCCATGATAAATTTCCTTAGAATCTATATTCTCCTCATCATCACTCCTTTGTAACAACCTCAAAAAATCTAAATTATCCTTTTGTACTTTCTTATAAGTTCCTTCAAAAGAAATTCTCCCATTTTCAAAAAAATAAATATAATCCACGTATTTTAAAAATTGCAATTGATTCGTAACCAAAACAACTATTTTGTCGCTCAAAAATTTACATAAACACTCTTTAAAAATGATTTCAGCAACGTGGGGATCAACAGCAGAAAGCGGATCATCTAAGAGGTAAATATCCGACTGTAAATAAACAGCTCGTGCTAAATTAATTCGAACTTTTTGACCACCACTTAAATTTTCGCCATTTTCTATTATTAAGGTGTTATCTCCGTTTGGTAATAAAGAAATGTCGCGCTCTAAAGCGCAAACTTTAATAACCGTTTTATAACGTTCTTCATTAAAATCGTGTCCGAATAAAATGTTTTCTTTTAAAGTCCCCGGGAAAATCCACGCTTCTTGAGACGAATAAGAAACTGTTCCGGAAACGAACGTTTCGCCACTCTTAATGAAAAGTTCGTTTAAGATTGTGTTTAAAAAGCTACTTTTTCCACCTCCAACTTGACCAATAATCGCTATGAATCGCGGATTTGGTATTAAAAGGTTTAAATCTTGTAAAGTATTTTCTGTAGAATTTAAGTCCCATACGGAGGAAACGTTTTTAAATTCGATAAAAATTCGGTTATCCCCGGATTTTTTGTGATGGTGTTTGCGTATTTCTTCGAGTTGAAGAAAGTTTTGGATTCTTTTGAAGGAAGCTTTCACTTCGGCGAGTCGAAAAAGCCCGTTTGGAACAAATACGTTTACGTTTAATCTCAACATGTTGTAATAGACGAATATTGTGAAGACGTGGATGTAAGTTAGGGTGTGCCCTAAGAGATAATACAGAAGGAGACTTAGGAATATCCCCACTTTTGGTAAAACGGAGATGATTGAAGAAAACACTCCGTATCCTAATAATAAATAACGAACCTTCTTAATTTCATTTCTAAAAAAGTGATTAAGTAGGATTAAATTAATTTTGATTGTTAATTTTAGATACCGTCTGATGTCAGATATAGATTTTATAAAATATTTTTCCCAAGTGTACATTTTAATTATTTGAATTCCAGATAAAATTTCTGTCATCATTTTGATACGTTCCCCAGCAAATTGAACTAGTTCCGTTCTTACTTTAGACATCCACTTTGTGATCAAGACTAAAAAATTAACATGAAAAAATTAATGAACAATACACAGCTTGGCAAATCTATCTTGGCTGTTGAAGATTAAATGCGACGTGGCAAACGTTATAGATATGAAATGTAAATTTCATGCAATAAAGAACATTGAGTATTTAATTCTTCTGCGCAACTGTCGGACTACGGTAAATTTGCCAAGCTATAATTAAATTAATAATTAATACATTGCAACGGAATTAATCCCACAAAAATGAAAACTCCAAAAATTCCAGTCCATCCAGTTTCAAAATACAACAACAACCCAACAACAACAATTTGTAACGGAGCTATCAAAAAACTTTGCGAAAAATATGATAAATTATCGAGACGAGTTGCATCGTGGGTTATCAAATTAACCAAATAACCAACGCTTACTTTTCCCATTGCGCTTTTGCCAATCTTTAAAGACTTCCTATAGATTAAGGAGCAACAAGCAGCTCGCATATCCATATATAAATTTCGGTTTCCCCAAGCATACGAGTGAAATGATATAACGAATAGAAGAGTCGAAATGTTCATGATTACAGCTTGGATATAAGCTTCATTTGCGGTTATTCTAACGTTATCTTTGGAGAAGTATCTTAAAAGGACTGTAAAAGATATTGTTTGGACTCCCCTAAAAAGAAATTAATAAGCCAAAAAATATCATAATCAACAAAAATTACTTTAAAATTATTTCCGCAATTACTGCAATGGATGTCATAACAAGATGTTTTTTCCAAAATACTCTTATTAACGCCTTAATAAGTGATGGTTTCGGCTTGGTTAATTCAATTTCCCATTCTTTTTCGAGACGATCCCCTAAATTACTCGATTTTTGATCATCAATCATTAGAAATAAATCATCTTTGGTTAATGGTTTTCGAAATCCTTTTATAAAAGTTGGGATAAACCATCTGAAAAATAGATTTAAATTAAATTCTTAAAAGTGGTCTTGCTTACAAGAGGGTATAGTAATAAAACGGATTGATATTCTCGATGGGATTTTTTATTCCCATCTTCACTTTCTTTAATTTTTTAGTTAACTAACTTTTAATATTTACATCAAAAATGGTTTAAGTGAATTTCTAAAAGATTTAATTGGATATTTAACCAAATAGTTACTTGTTGGTATTTTGTCTAATTAGTTTTATTATCTTTTTATCTACAAACAAAATCGTGCACACGAGGTTAAGGTTAAAAATATTAATTATGTATATTACAACAAAATTAAGTTAGAATTAAATAATAATTTTTGTATTACATAAAGTTTGATATTAAAAGTAAACACAAAAATGTTCTTATCTACGAATAGCGCATAATATTTTCAGCGTTGGTGTAGCACTTTAAATATTAACAAATATCGAATCAGAAATTATTTTAAAATTAGACATGATTTAAGTTGGTGGTATTGAAAAATATGACATTTGAAATATTTTGATAGGTTAAAAGTCAAAATTTTAATATTTCTATCTTCAAAAACTTTTATAATAAGTATTAAGTACCATTTTTTGAATCTTTACATAATATTAGATATTGTGTCTTCGCTTAACATCTCATACCTCTTAAAATGTGCAAATAGTGGTGTATAAGAAACCTTTCTTTCCAACCTGACTCATTTCTATATACTACTTATACTACTCATTAGTTATGAAAAGATTGATGTTGGGTGAACAGATCGATCTCAAAATCCTCAAGGACGTGAAGAGTCCTTGAGGATTTTGAGATGTCCTCTAAGCTTACCTCGGTGTATGTTACTTTATATTATTGTGAAAGCTGCAAATTGAGTTTCTTGGACACCTAGAAAGTCAACCTAAAGTTGGGGTAATTATAGAGCTTTCGTTTAAGCGTTTTTAAACACTTTTTTAAACCAAACAAAACTTTTTTGACAACTGACAGCTTATTTTAAACTAACTTAACTCATTACAAATTTAATTTTTGTTTTTACTCCATAGATGGCAGTAGTATATATCGGTAAATGTAAATAACTAGTCAAGAATATTTAATGTTTAAAGTGTTTTTAATAAAGAAAACCTTTTATAAAACCACAAATTTATTTTTAACTATATTTAAATTGTTAATTTTGAAAAATATTGACATATGACATCTGAAATATGAAACACAATTATGACAGCTTAATTGTCAAAATTTTAACGTAATCGTTACACAAATTTAAAATAATTAAACCAAGAATAAACATTTTAATGAATATAATAATCAAAACTTTCCCAATGCATGCCCACCTTTACACGATTTTGAAATCTATTAATACCTTAAAACACAAAGGGGTTGTTTGGATAAGAGTAAAAGTGATTTGGGTTGCCTACAACCGGGAAACGTAAAGTAGTAAACAAACGGTTCCAGCAACCGGCGGCACAGAGACCACAAGAAAAAGGGGACCGGTTTGTATGGTTTAGTCGCGTAGGTGATAGAGGCACGGTGATGTGCGTTGTAACCGAACGATAAATTTCTTTCGATTCAACTAAAACCACCCTCTTTCACCAAACCCCGGTATTTTCGCATTTATAAACATCCCCGGGTTTCCGCATTGAGAGCTTTTCGCGTACCGTTAGTTACGTTTACACACCACAAGTGAATCTACAACAAAAAACATCGTGTTATGTTAAAATAGGCGAACAAGTGTATCGAAAATGAACGGGATTGGATCTGTGACACCACAAGAATTATTCGTCAAGGAGGTAAAGTAAATAAAAATAAAATGTTTCTTTCATCACTTTTATATTAGATTTTTTTTGTGGTCATTTTGTTTAAGTAACTTTAATAAGATGGAGCTTTCGCTGCAGCGTTTTATATTGGAATCTAAACGATGCCGGGAACGCACATTTTTGTTTAAACTTACACGCATCTGGCGTTTCGATAGGTGCAATGAACTAAAACGGTTTTAAAATTAAATATTAAAGAAAAATTTACGATTATTATAGATCGATAAAACATTTATTTAATGTTATTCTCGACTTTAAGTTATTAATTAATCGAAATGGACGAAAATTAAAATGTCAAAATAGTTTTTAATATTTCATTGTCAACATTTTTCAATACTACCAACCTAAAATGTGGTTAAAAATAATTTTTTTTTAATTAATTTTCTTCTCCAGCAAATTTGCATTTACAAATAACGGCCAACACCATTTTTTTGTCTCGCACATTTATCCTATAATTGGAAATTCCGTTATCATGTAAATCCACGTCTCTAACTTTTATGCTTTCTAATGGAGACTTTGTCGTTTGATTATAGCTTATTTCTTGGCGTAAAAGACATTTTCGTTCAAAATTTTTAAAGAGAAGAAGGTATAAAGTATGTTCAACGATTTTTTGAACTTTGTGGAAAAGTCTACTTCTTATTACAATTTTACCAAACCTGTTTTGATTACTTAGTTTTTTAATGACATCAAAAAACACGTTTTTTTAATTCTTTGTAAAATCTGCCAATATCTTTTTCCCAATAATATTTGACTTCTCTCAACATCCTGTATCATCCATCAACATCATCCCTAATATCTCTCCTCTTTCAATATCTCTCCTCTTTCAATATCTCTCCTCTTTCAATATCTCTCCTAACGTCTTTCCTGTCGCTGCACAACATCTGATATCTCAACATCCTTCCAGATATTCTCATTTCTTTCGCCTTTTCAGCATTAGTATCTCTTTACACAGCCATTCATAACTTCCAACAATCCCTGACTTTTCTAAATAGCATTCTGGTCTCTCTCAACATCCTTCATAGCAGCTATCAACAGTTTTTCAATTTCTTCCAATTTTCTAATAACTTCAAAGAACACGTTTTCTTAATTCTCTGTAAAATCTGCCAATATCTTTGTGCTTTTTCCCAATAGTATTTGACTTCTCTCAACATCCTCTATCATCCATCAACATCATCCCTGATATACCCCATATCGTTTCTGATATCATTAACTTATCGTAGCATCAATGACATCTCTCATTACAACCTAGCCTCTTTCAATATTTCTTCTATCGTCTTTGCTGTCGCTACACAACATCTGATATCTCAACATCGTTCCAGATATTCTCATTTCTTTCGCCTTTTTAACATTAGTGTCTCTCTACACAGCCATTCATAACTTCCAACAATCCTTGACTTTTCTAAATAGCATTCTGGTCTCTCTCAACATCCTTCTTAGCAGCTATCAACAGTTTTTCAATTTCTTCCAATTTTCTAATAACTTCAAAGAACACGTTTTCTTAATTCTCTGTAAAATCTGCCAATATCTTTGTGCTTTTTCCAAATAGTATTTGACATCTCTCAACATCCTCTATCATCCATCAACATCATCCCTGATATACCCCATATCGTTTCTGATATCATTAACTTATCGTAACATCAATGACATCTCTCATTACAACCTGCCTCTTTCAATATCTCTCCTATCGTCTTTGCTGTCACTACACAACATCTGATATCTCAACATCGTTCCAGATATTCTCATTTCTTTCGCCTTTTCAACATTAGTATCTCTCTGCACAGCCATTCATAACTTCCAACAATCCCTGACTTTTCTAAATAGCATTTTGGTCTCTCTCAACATCCTTCTTAGCAGCTATTGACAGTTTTTCAATTTCTTCCAATTTTCTAATAACTTCAAAGAACACGTTTTCTTAATTCTCTGTAAAATCTGCTAATATCTTTGTGCTTTTTCCCAATAGTATTTGACATCTCTCAACATCCTCTATCATCCATCAACATCATCCCTGATATACCCCATATCGTTTCTGATATCATTAACTTATCGTAACATCAATGACATCTCTCATTACAACCTAGCCTCTTTCAATATCTCTCCTATCGTCTTTCCTGTCGCTGCACAACATCTGATATCTCAACATCCTTCCAGATATTCTCATTTCTTTCGCCTTTTCAGCATTAGTATTTCTTTATACAGCCATTCATAACTTCCAACAATCCCTGACTTTTCTAAATAGCATTCTGGTCTCTCTCAACATCCTTCTTAGCAGCTATCAACAGTTTTTCAATTTCTTCCAATTTTCTAATAACTTCAAAGAACACGTTTTCTTAATTCTCTGTAAAATCTGCCAATATCTTTGTGATTTTTCCTAATAGTAGTTGACTTCTCTCAACATCCTCTGTCATCCATTAAAATCATCCCTGTTATCTCTCCATATCGTTTTTGATATCATTAACCTATCCTGACAGCTCTCATTACAACCAAGCCTCTCTCAATATCTCTCTCATCATCTATTAACATCGTCTTTGCTGTTGCCACACAAGATCTGATATCTCAACATCGTGGCCTTTTCAACAGCCATTCACAACTTCCAACAATCCCTGACTTCTCTAAATACAATTCTGGTCTCTCTCAACATTCCTCTTACCAGCCATCAATATAATCCTCCAACATCCTTGTCATTTAACATCTCTCAATGAACTATCTAGCAAATTTGTCCTTGATGTCTCAGNAGCCATTCACAACTTCCAACAATCCCTGACTTCTCTAAATACAATTCTGGTCTCTCTCAACATTCCTCTTACCAGCCATCAATATAATCCTCCAACATCCTTGTCATTTAACATCTCTCAATGAACTAGCTAGCAAATTTGTCCTTGATGTCTCAGGTTAATAATCCACAACCTGATTTTATATCTAACTTTAACCTTGTTTTTTTTTTGTTTTGTTTATATATTTGAATTTGAAATTTTGATATCAATTTTTTATCCTTCAATCATATTTTTCTTTATCTCGCCAGTAATTAATTATTGGTTGGATTTTGTACTGCCGACTTTCGTCAGATTTGATAAAAGGCTTACGCCCGAAACAATATCTTTTAGTTTGCCTTCGGTTTTGTGGTTAGCAGCTTGTAGTAAAACCGTAATCTTCGGAGTTTCAGTGTATCTTTGAAATGAGTATGACTTGTTGGAACAATGACGTCGACGACGACGTCCAGGACGTTGATTCGACGCAAGATTACACAATCGATACGAGCTGTAGTTTTAAAAAACCCCGCGAAACAACTTCTTCCTGGAGAGACTTTTTCAAATTGGAAAATTTTACGGTAAAGAAATTAATTAATACATTTCTTATGTATTTCAATACATTTATTAGAAATATTTTTTTAACGTACTCATTGTACAATACAATTGCGTGTTTTAGCGCAATTAATTAAGCAAATTCGCTATGTTGCTTTTGCATGACCTCGTTCCGCCCTTAATTCGATAAGCGTTTAAATATCAACAGGGTAACGAAGTGTGTATTTCAGGAGTGTATTTTGAATCTGTTTTTCTTATAAATACTCAATCTTATTGACTTTATAGCTAATGTTTGTTTTTGGCGATGATAACCCGAACGATTCATTATCATTACTTCGTTGAATATCGCAGTTTTATAGGAAAAATTATTACTTACAATTCTCTTAAACTAAATTATAAATACCGGTGACACAAAATTTATTGCCATTAAATCGTAATGACTTCAAACATACAGAATAAAAAGTGTAATCGTAGAATTAAATTTGTACAAAGGATTGTAATGAAATTGAAACGAAATAAAAATAAGGTAACTATACTTTTATTTATAAAGATATTCTTTGTCTGATTATATCCTGAGACACACAATGTTTGTTTTGAGTTTGTTATCAATGTCTTGATGTTTTTTCATATCGGCTACGTTCAATAACTTTAATATAGGATGAAAAATTTATTTAATCACGGCTTTTCTCGACATCGCATCATTTTGAAATTAAATTCGATATAAAATGAACGTAATAAAAACATTACTTTCATTTCTGCAACTTTCAAACGTATTCATTCTCAATCTCTTGTAAATTTCAATTTGGTTTCGACACAATTTCATTATCGCTTTAAAAGTTACAACACCTTCGGTTGTTGTACGACGACGTCACCTCTACCAAATCTGTAACTGCCGGTGTTCATGTTCCGGATAAGGCGACATTGTTAACGCGATGAGGTCATGATCGTCAAAAGATTACCTAAGGGGATTATAAACGTTATAAATCCATAAAACATCCGTTTCAATTTTCAATAAAATTAGTTTTCTAATAACTAACCTAAATAAATAGCCTAAAAGAGATGACTTGAATTGATTGCAACCTCATTTTACAAAACTTCATCTAATTTAGCGAGGTATCTTCGTTTCAAAATGATTTTGATCAACCTTATTACAATCAAAATGGTATCAAAATTTATCCATACTTATTAAAGTTTATTCAAAATGATGAAAATTGCATCTAAAATAGTACAAAGCAGGTTTGTTGTATTGAAAATTGTTCATGATGAATAAAAGTTAATTGGAAATGTTTAGAACCTTGTCTAAATGATTAAAATTGTGTGGTAATCTTTTAAAACTTGTCTAAATGATTCAGAACTGATTCATATTCATTCCAAGATGTTCAAAGTTACTAAAAATTGCATTTAGAATTGTACCAATTAGGTTTATAGCGTTGCAGAATTGTTCATATAATCGTTTAACTATCCAGATATTTTTTAAAAACCGGATACTTACCAAAATTCGCTATAAAATTCATTTCTTGAAGGATCCTTGTGGAAATATCACCAATTATTAATTAAAGTGTCCTCTTTTTAATACAAAAAGCCGTTTTGAAAAATCACTTTTAGATTTTGAGAAATAAATTTTTGAAATAATCGACAATTTTTTCGAATTTTGCAATTTTTGCCCATTAAGTTTTAAAAATTCGTATAAAATCTATTTCTTGGAATATGAGTATGAAAATTTCCCAAAGTGTTAATAAGAGTGTCCTCTTTCCAATGCATCAACACGTTTTGAAAAATAACTGTTAGTTTTTGAAAAAACAATATTTGAAGTTTTGATCAAATTTTCAATGTTGCAATTTTCATCGATAACTTTCAAAATTCGCTATAAAATTAATTTCTTGAAGGATCCTTGTGGAAATATCACCAATTATTAATTAAAGTATCCTCTTTTTAATGCAAAAAGCCGTTTTGAAAAATCACTTTTAGATTTTGAGAAATAAATTTTTGAAATAATGTATAATTTTTTCGAATTTTGTAATTTTCGCCGATTAAGTTTTAAAAATTCGTATAAAATCGATTTCTTGGAATATGAGTATGAAAATTTCCCAAAGTGTTAATAAAAGTGTCCTCTTTCCAATGAACCAACCCGTTTTAGAAAATAACTTTTAGTTTTTGAGAAAACAATATTTGAAGTTTTGATAAAATTTTCGATGTTGCAAT